AGCGCCGAGCCCCGCGAGGCTGTTTCTTCTTCTTTCTGACGCCCCCGAGGCGTCCAAATAGAGTCACTGATTTACCCAGATACCATTGGAAGAAAAATTGTGATTGGTCCATTTCCATTCCATTATATTAACCCTTTGTTTCCCAAGAAATATTAGTCCAAGTTTATAACGATCTAGAAATTATTACTAGTGCAGGGTTTATTACTCACTGAATAAAAAATATATTAGTTGTACAAAAATTAATTCAATATTTTTTTCTTGGGCCTTCACTGAATACCTTGAAGACCCTGAGGGTTCAACTCTGCAACAAAGCAGCGTGGACAACAGTGGCACTGACAGTGCTTTACAGTGTTCTGTCGAAATGAGCTATCGGCAGCCTAACGTAGGTATTCTGCCACAAATCTAACATGCACATGTCCATGCTTACACATGTAACTGATCAAAACATACAACAAAACCAAAAGACTTTTAAAATGTGACTTGTTACTCCACTTCTGCATTGGGAGCTCAACTTGACAGCATTTAAACTAGAACAGCGCTTGGGTGGGTGCGCATGTGTAGTAAGTAGCGCTATGTAGCTCAAATCGACAGGACACTGGCCCTGCCAATGAGGTGTAACTTATTTATTTTTCAGGGAGTTGGTAACCCTACACATGAGCAACCTAGCATAATGAGCTAGCATTTACAAACGTGGTGCTTAACTGGCATGATACAAAAAAATCATTTATATTCATGTTTACATTTACAGACTAACATGCGACGACATCGACTCAATCCCATGCATGATGCATGTGACCATGCAGCCATTGCCAGGGACAAGACTCAAATGCTGGACGTGAAATACATCAGTCCTCAAAAAGGTATGTTATCTGTTGAACTGGAAACAGCAGGAAAACATAGAAATGTTTGGTAACAGCTCCGAACGCTATACACGATGCTCAGTTGTGTCGTGTTATCTACGTATGACTCCACAGGCACTATTTTTTTTTAAACAAACTTTCTGAAGGCAGACAGTGTCATATTCAAGTTAACAGACTACAGTAATTTATTTGTGCAAGTACTTCTGAACTGGTTTTGTTGAGTTATTTAGCTTGCAGAATAAAGTGATTGAGTACAAATGACAATGCAAATTAACAGGAAGAAACTGACCAAGTGGCATTTAGATGGGGGACTATATACTGCGGAAGCACAGGCAAAGCATTAGCAGCATTAGCAATTTCTGTTTAAAATTAATATGGGCACCTGGAGACATATCGGCTATCGGCCGATGTTTGCTGATAGGGGCCGATATTTCACGTTTTTTTTCAGGTTAGTGATTAGCTGCTGTGTCTCTCACACATAAACAGTCTGTTTTCTATTGGTCTATTGTAAAGTGACTATATTGGCCGTATATTTGTTACTGGACCTGCATTGATATGTAAATGAGCTGTGAATAGACGTGTGAATGATCCACATTTACACATATAATTAATTACTGCGGTGCGCAGCATTTACAGCTAAAGGCTAATAGCGGTAGTTTATTTACTAGCTTGTAGTGATGGGTCGGTCGCGAACGAAACTGCACTTAGAGCCTGCTCCTTATTGGGAGCCGCGTTTTCTCTGAAAACGAAAACTTTCAGAAATCTGCGTGTGCATAGGATAGAAAATAAAGTGCCTATTTGGCTGTAGTTTAGAATAAAATAAATAAACCAGAACTAATCTTGGGCTTGAGAGAGGGAGAGAGATAGAGACAGAGTCCTGACACTCAGTCCTGGTTCAGTTCTGGTTTAGTCCTGTTTTACACATGGTTTAGATCTGTTTTAGTCCTGATTTAGTCCATTTTCAGTCCTGGTTTAGACCTGGTTCAGTTCTGGTTTAGTCCTGCTTGCAACAAAACAACCTGAAGAGTCACTTGGGAGCCGAAAGAGCCAGCTGCTTTTAGTGAGCCGAGCCAAAAGAGCCGGTTCTCTAAAAAGAACTGTAATACCCATCACTAGCTGCTAGAATGTGATGCAAAATGTCATTAGTTCTACCTACTGTCTGTAAATATGTTTCCTAAATAAACCCAATTTAAAATCCACTAGAACCAAACCTATGTTTTTTTCAACAATTCAAGATTTACAGTGAATTTTTACATCAATAAATATATTGGCGATTATATCGGCAGCTCCAACTCACATTTTATTGGTTTCATATCGGCCGGGCCCTAGTTAGAATAATGGTTTACAATGATTTCTGATCCTTGATAACAGTGTAATTGTTGTAGTTTGACTCCATACAAGTGCAGTTATTGGACACGCATACAAGCAGTGCTTTAGACCTGTGAAAAACAGACCATGTGAAAAAGGAATGCAATTTTTTTGCTTATAAATACTATACAGTAGTGACATCTGAGAAAGCGACTCAGGGTCAGAAAAAAAAAAAAATAGGACATGAAGCCCTTCATTTATCAAATATCAAAACCAGCACAAATTTGTGCAAGAAATCCATTTATTACAGGGTTTACGAGATTTACAAAACATGCAAATGTTGCACTGTGTTGCTTTAAGAATGAGCGGCTGATGATAATATGAGCCTGAAAATGAATGTAATTCAAATATTACTCCCCAATATATTCTGAATTCAAAGGCCTCACCCTTAGAATTTACAACACGAAAGTGCATAATGCGTATAAAAAGAGACTTTTTTTTTTTTTTCTAGTTATGAGAGCTACAGTAACGTTGCAGCAATTAGTTTTTAAAAGGCAGCATCAAAGAAAGGGAGTATATAAAAAAAAAAAAAAAAAAACTATTTAAAACTAATACAAAAAGTTAGATAAAGACCTACAATGTTAAATTTTATCATTACAAAATTACACAATATGTAATTGTAATAATAATATAAAAATGTTGTTTTTGTAAAAAAAACTATTTGTAGATATTATGCAACGCAGTTGTAGATAGATGATTAAATATGGAAATAACATGGGCTAGATTCAGAAGAGGTAGTAATTGCACAGGGGATCTTTTGTCCAATACAGCCCATTTCATGAACTCAGACCTGATGTGAGATTTCATTGCAGACTGTAATCATGTTCAAATTGAAATATCACCCTTTGCTTAGAAATCAACGTATGTCCAGTTTAAGCAAATGTTTTGTCGTATGCACGTTTGATGAACGAGGGCCATTTAGTTTGTGTGAGAGAATATATGACAAATCAGGAACATAACAGGGAGCTCTGACTCTTGTTTAACGTGTCATGTGCACTGTCTTTCACCTTACAAACACCAGTTTTATTAATGACCGTCCTGTAAGTGATTTCTTAAAGTTTGATGTATTTAGACACAAGGCTACCTAATAACATAGAAATTGTATTGCAGGGGCGTTAAGCATAATTATGCAGTTATTTTAACAAAGGTTTTTTTTTAGCATGGCAGCATGTAATGCTGAAAGTCCCTGGCCTCAAAATGCTCTGGAATTATACACTTGGAGGTTGTTGTGTTAAGTAGATTAAAGATGATGTTGGTATGGTGTTTTATTCAGAATTTAAATCTCCAATGAAAACACTTTTCAGAGTCCTTCAGATTCTTAGATTTTTGGACTAAAACTGTCCAGATAAACAAATATTTCCTAAACAGACGCAGATAGGCTAACTAAAATTGATTGAACTTAACTCATTTCTTGTTCAAACCAAAGAAACCTTTCCTGGAGATCAGCTTGTGTCTTAAAGTGCTATTAAAGATAAGTGTATGCTGGGCCTTTTTGACTTCTATCAGATGATCCTCACAACTGATGTTCTATCTTACCTCAGCTTACTTCTGACTGTTGTATTAATGTCAAGTGAGTGCAGGACTGTTTCAGATTACTTCAGTTGATCCCCACAACTGTGTGTGTGTAGGACTTTCAGTGGGTCCATAAACTGATGTTTTATTGGAGATCAGCTTGCGTCTTACAGTCCTATTATAAAGCTAAGTGTATGTTGGGCCTTTTTGACCTTTATTGGTTGGTCCCCACAACTGATGTTTTATTCTAACTCATTTAGCTTGTATTAATGCTGATTGTGTGCAGGACTGCTTCAGATTTCTGCAGTTGGTCCCCATAACTGTGTGTGTGTAGGACTTTCAGTTGGTCCCCACAACAAATGTTTTATTCCACCTCAGCTTGTTATGAATTGTCATATTTAAGTTGAGTGTGTGTGTGTGTGTGTGTGTGTGTGCGCGTAGTGCTTTGAAGAATTATTTCACTTAGCCCCCACAACTAATGTTTTATCTTATATTGAAGTCAATATAAGACATCCATAATGGCTGACAATCTGTTTTTGAGGTACATGTTAAAACTTCATGCACTTGTCTTTCTTTTCTTGTCAAAGGTGATGATCCCACTTGCAGCCTTGAAAATGTGCCTTCTACCAGTGAGTGTCCAACTTGTGCCACTCAGGTAACATAATCACTCTTTACCTGTTCTGGGAATCATATTGTGAAGCAGAATTTGACTTTCATTTGACAGACATTAATTTGATTTAATTTCATTTTTGACATGTTTGACAGCCAATAATTTCCTTATCGTTTTTTTTTTTTATTTTTTTTTCCCATTTTTATTCCATTTGTGTTCACTAACCCCTAACAGGTTTCCCTCTGAGATTAGCACAGAATCTCATCTCTATCATTCACTGATTTAGCAGTCAATCACTTAACATTAATCTATGGAGGCACTTATACTGGACTGACTTAGGGTTAAAATGGGGATAAACCTGGAACTATTGCCCTGATAACAAGCATACATCAAAGGCTAGGGCCACAGTTACAGCACTGGTGCTTACATCTTATGTCGAGTTAGTTGCTATGGTTTTTGTTCTGCTTACTGTAACCTGGCTGTAGGTAAACTATTGCTAACTAGATACTTAGCTGCTATTTTGAATTACATGCTACTATTACTACAGCATACTTGGAGAGAGAGAAGGTAACGCAGGGAGAAACCATTCTAGCCCTCTCACTAGAGAGGTTGTTTGTGTGTCTGTGAGCATTACTTATTTAGCCTACATAACATTAGCTATTGGTGTACTTTCTAGCCTAATGTTTTTTTTTTTTACATTTTGTCTTACAGTCTATGCTATCTTTGCTTTCACTTGTCCCCCAAATTAATGCTTTCTTGGAGATCAGCTTGTGTCTTACAATCCTATTATAAAGCTAAGTGTATGCTGGGCCTTTATGGCCTCTATCGGTTGGTCCCCACAACTGATGTTTTATTCTAACTCATTTAGCTTGTATTAATGCCGATTGTGTGCAGGACTGCTTCAGATTCCTGCAGTTGGTCCCCACAACTGTGCGTGTGTAGGACTTTCAGTTGGTCCCCACAACAGATGTTTTATTCTACTTCAGCTTGCTATGAATTGTTTGTATTTAAGTTGAGTGTGTATGTGTGTAGTGCCTTCTACCAGTGAATGTCCAACTCGTGCCCCTCAGGTAACATAATCACTCTTTTTGTACTACTTTGTAATGGAATTAATGTGGCCTGTCTCAGATTTCTAGGAAGATTACTGTCTTTAACAATATTATACATGTAAATGACAAAGCATGATGGGTGTCAGACGAGAAGTTACTCATTAATACATTTCTTTTCAGTGATCCTGTCAGATTCATGTGATTCCTGCATGTATGGATTTTATTGTTGTCAATTTTTTATAGATTATATTAATTTGTGTGGAAAAGAGACCTTGGACACGGACGAGCAAGAAAACGAAAAGTCACAACAAACAGGTAAGTAAAGAAAACATCACATTTAAATGTCATCTGTTCTGTCTTCTCAATATTAAAGGATAATTCCAGTGTGAAATGAAACTGGGGTATATTTCATCATGATGAGTTTGAATGTATGTTGGGGATTAAAACTATGCTAACCTGTTGCATTCTGAACTGGATTGCTTTAACTGATGCTGCCAAAAGGCACTTAATGAAGTTTTGATCCCTACCAAATGCTCAACCTCATTAACCTTTTTCAATATTTCACAGAATTTGTTTCACACTGGAATTATCCTTTAATGGAAGTTGAACAGAAAGTCTTAGTATAGTACACCAGCCCATATTTGATTAGTATAGTACACCAGCCCATATTTGATTAGTATAGTACACCAGTCCCCATGAAGTATACGGTCCTCATGAGTGCTGGTGTTTTGTCATTGTGGGAGGTGCTATGTAAATTAGGTCCCCAAATTGAACGATATATTGGTTGTCCCCACATATGCTGATTATGTCAGGTCAGGTTACATTGTTGTGAGTGTATACACAATTCAAGGTGATGGGCTGATTTGATATTTTTTTACTAACATCCCTGATTTTTTTTGAAGCCTGTAGCATGATGGGAAAGGGTGGTTCCCGGAACACACCTATTTGTCAGGTGTCCCCACTTAGTGATAAATGCGAGTATGGGTGTGTGTTGTGTGTGTGTTGTGTATCTACACATCTCACCCTTTGTCTGAATGAATAAATGAATGAATCCAGGTGTGTCCATAAACATCTGTCAGTGAGAATCTCAATCACACTGATCATGAGGAAGAAATTCTAGAAGAGACAGAGGCTCTGATGGTGCAGCTGAGGAAGATTTCTCTGAGAATGAAGATCAAATTTGTGAAAATTCAGGGTCAGAGAGTGAGTTTGAAGAGGACGGGGACAGGAGGGTGAAGATCAGCCAACAGAGCCAGGAGCAGGAGCAAAACACAAGCAGAGCTCAGCCACAGGACCAGTCTGCCAGCAGCTGGTCCAAGGACCAACTTATGAGAGACGAGCTGGTGAGCAGAGAGACATAGGATGCCAAAGATGTTCATTTTGTCTTCTTATATACTTTAACTTCTTGGGTTCTTTTTAAACAGGAAGTAACAACAGCTGATATACGACACGCCACCACCAACACCCGTGACAGTTCTGAAGATGCAGCAGCAGCCGAAACATGTCAACAAGGTAAATACACTTTACTGCATTGTCTTTAAAAAGAACCCAAGAAGTTAGAGACATAGGATTGGACAATGTAAGATTGTCAAAAGATGGAAAAATTCAGTGGTGTTTCACTTCAAGACAGAGCCTTCACACGGCTGCAACATGATACTGAAGGCACCAGGGCCGACACGCTCGGCAGTCACACATGTAGATGACATCACGTCTTCTTTTGACATTTTCATGCCACCTCAGATCAAGAACATGATCCTGGACTGCACCAATATAGAAGGAAGGAGAGTTTTTGGAGTGAAGAAGAGAGGAAGGTTTTTGATGAAGCTAATTTAGATGCCTACTTTGAGATTTTTATCCTTGCCGGTGTTTTCCGAGTTTTTCCGTGTTTTCGTGTACTTTTTACACTTGGTGTTTCACCAAGTGTAAAAAGTACATCTGCAATAGACAAAGTGAAACTCTGCCCCTCATGTGATAGTCTGTCATGAAAATGTCTGTGTTCAGTGGAACTAATGTCTGTTCAGAGAAATGTTGAGTAAGTTCAATTTCTGATGAAACTCAAATGAATAGTTCACTGTAGTGTTGTGGGAACTTTTTTCATTTGTACATTGTTTGATTATTATCCAGTCATGACTGTTATATGATGCATTTCTTTATTTTGTTCTATTTTAATAACCCTAAACTTTACAAAAACGAGTGGCCTGTTTATTCATAAATGCAATTTAACAAAGGAAAAGGGAGCAAATTTAACAATAAGTTATTAATACTACTTCCAAATGAGATTAATTAAGCATCTGCTGAGAATTTTAACAAAAAAAGGTTTAAATATGATGATGTAAAAGCCCCAGTGCAATGGGTCCACCAGACCCAGCAGGACTCCCTGTGGAACAAAAAAACAAAGACCTTACAAGAGTTAAACAGTGAATCCTGAACAAGCAGAATATAAAATAATAACACAATTTTAAATAAATAACGTCTCTATAGTTGATCTGTAGTCGGCGGGCAGCTCTAATACAGATTTTAACAGAAATTATATCATGGGTCAAATTTGGCCCCGGGCCTCAGTTTGACATGTCTGATCTAAGGCTACGTTTATATGATGAGGGTCTGAACAGAAGACACAAAAGTGGCGTCGCGTCTTCACTTTTTATTCTGCGTTTAGACGAGTGTTTTCAGGAGTAAATCTGCTGCACACGATGACGCAAAAGTGTGTGGAACTGGATTGTTTGTGTTTGTACTTAAAGCAACGAGAGCGTCTTTGGACATACGGGAGTTTTCATGTCATGTTTTCATCAGCTCCTCCTTCCACAAAGTCGTCCCACCATCGACTGGTTCTCCAGGTCTCGTCCAGATCCGTCTGACTCGACTGAGACGACCTGCTGCGTCCAGAGTTTGACAGAGGTGACTGCAGGTCCTTCTCTGGTCACTAATAGAGTCTCTGCAGATTCTCCACATTTGTTGGGAGCCTCCTGTAAGTTTATTAGAGCTGCCAGACACATGGAAATGATCAGTGTTGGGAAGGTGACTTTTAAAATGTAATCCCCTACAGATTACAGATTACACACACCAAAATGTAGTTTGTAACGTAATCCATTAAATGACTTAAAGTGAGTAATGTAATCTGAATACTTTGGATTACTTGATTTGCTGTAGAGAAGCAAAGACGAGAAAATCGTAACATAAGAAGTTTTGTTTGATAAAAGAAAATTAAAAGTCCAGACTTTACTGAACCAAATTAAAAATATTATTGATAGAAGAAGAAGAAACACGTCCACACAGCAGGATTTAGTCCTGTTAAATCCTGTTTTAGACCTGGTTTAGTCCTGGTTCAGCTCAAAATGTAAAAACTGGAAAATCCCGCCATGTAATCCATTTATTTCAACAAAGTAACTGTAATCCAATTACCACTCACTGAAACAGTAACTGTAACTGAATACAGTTACTCATAATTTGTACTCTGGTAAATGTAATCTGTTACTCCCCAACACTGGAAAAGATCTGACATGTTTGTTTCTGTAAATGATGTAACCTGACCTGAGCAGATCTGACCAGAGTTTTGTGTCTTGGACAGTGTAGATCAGGAGGGTCAAACTCATTTTGTTCTGGGGGTCCGTGTCCAACCGACTTTGATCCCAAAGTGTCTGGATCAGAAAACTCATGTCATATAAACCCCAAAAATAACAATAAATTCAAATATTTGTGCAGAGAAACACAAATCTATTACAGAAATCTTTTTAATTGATGAACTCTTTCTTTTACAAAATATTATAATATTATGAACAACCTGAAACTTAAAAAAAAATACAACAGGACCTAGAGTTAGAAGAACTTGTAACGATGAAAACCACGTCCTTTGAATCCAGTTCCTCAGAGTAATGACATTTACTGTGTTCTGAATCTCAGGCCCCTGATCCTGTTTGGGTTTTAATGGTTTAATCTACAGGTTTGTTTTTGTTTTCGACTTCATTTTGAAAACTAAAATCAAAACGGAAACGGACAGAAACACTCAGAAACAGCATGTTGGTGATTAATAGTGCTGCTGTCAGAATGAACGCTTTGAGAAGATGACCTCCCCCTGATGACTGGACTGACTGTGTGAAGGAGCTATATAAAAGCTCAGAGGAAAGCCCAGAGCTGATAGTTGAGTTTGTCGACTTGAGCCTCAGGATGAAGTTGTTGCTGCTGCTGCTGCTGGTCCACAGCTGTGCCAGTGTCTCTATGGAACATCTGGAGTTCCACGCATGGAAGATCAAGTTTGGTAAGAGATTAAAGACGATGCCTTCACTGAGTGGTGGAAGGTACCGGAGTACAAAAGTAAAGCTAACTGACTTAAATACTATTTTTATTTACCTCTACTTTTACATTTTAAAGTGCGTACTCTGTACTTTTATTTCACCACACGTGGGGGCTGGTGTCTGTACTTTCTCCTGCACGACATTTTTTGAACTGGACTGAAAATTAAATAGCAGTTTTTATATGATTCAAGGGATTATTACTTATATTAGATTCAAAATGTCATCCTGACTTTGAGCAAACTATAACTTATACATACTATTCAGCATGTACATTAAGAAATGTATTGTTCTTCTTTATAAATATCACAAAATGTAACACATTCACACAGTTCTGAAAAGAATGTGTGAAATACTTTTTCTTTTCTCTCAAAAGTACAATAGCAAAGTACACTTAAATATTTTTATTATGTAGATTTTTTTTATGTGAGATTTTTACAATGTTTTTGTCCCTGTATCTACTTGTACTTAACTAACACAGTTTGGTCGTTACTTCACTGCCTACACTGTTAAAACCTTTCTATACTTTCATAAAAATAATAATATGACTCATTCGGAGTTACCTTAATATGGCTGGACAATATTTTTTTAGGATTAACCCAGTTAACACAATATTTCAGTCATTCAACAGACGGGCTCAAAAGAGTTTTTAAGTGTATTTGTTGGGGCAGAAGCGTCAGCACATGAGAAAGGGTAAAACTACACACAAAAGTGCAGAAATGTCACTTTATAACCTTGTTTGAAAGATTACATACCTTTGGACAATTTTTTTCTCAATTAGCTCAAATTTCTTAGCATAACTGCCTATGTTGTTTTTCATCTGCTACAGGCCTTAAAGAGATGCAGAATTAAAACACATTGTAAAATAGAAAATGACTTGGGGAGTTGGTGAGTGCATTGGCCAGGACCGTTTGTTCCTGCACTCAAGTTCTATTGTTTGTCTAGTTAAATCAATGGGAGAAGAGTCAGAAGCCCAATCCAAACTTCAGTTTTTAAATATTGAGAAAACAACACGTGTTGTGATTCTTTTCATTGTCACTTTATTATGCCATGACTGTCAACATTGTTTAAGCAATTATCAAACCTGTATCATGTGACCAGTTGTAAAATGTATTTAAAATGTTAATTGAAAAGTTTCCATATATTATTTTTTTGAGGTGTAGATTGAATTTATATTACATATTGAGCCATATCTACACCTCCAAACCTTTATAAAACCTTTTTCTTTTCCATAACTTCTGAAATACATTATTATTGTCAATATGTTCCCATAACAGTTTGCATTTGTTTAATATAAAGAACAAATGTAAATCACCTGACTGAAAGTCTGTTTCGAGCATGTCAGGTGTAGGTTATCTGAACAAAAAAACAAACAAACGAAAAAACTTCTATCCACTTTGGCTTTGGGAGAGCAGAGACACTGTTGTACAGGGTAAACACAGTGTTCTTATAACCCTCGTATCAAAGGGTTTTTACTACTGCACTTTCAGATAATCTTTTCATTATATCTCGGGAGTGACCAGATCCTCTTTTCTTTGGTCAAATGTAGGAAAGTCGTACAGTTCCCCGTCTGAGGAGGCTCGGCGCAGAGACGTGTGGCTGCGTAACCGTGAGCTGGTGCTGGAGCACAACATGTTGGCCGATCAGGGCGTCAAGTCCTACCGCCTCGGGATGAACTACTTCGCTGACCTGGTACAGAAAAAACATTCATGTTTTTGTTTTTAAGATGGAGGTGTTCATGTCCTGTGATCCTGATCCTGTAGGAAAACCACGAGTACAGGAGCCTGGTGTCCCAGGGCTGCCTCAGGTCCTTCAACAGCTCCCTGCCCCGTCACGACTCCACCTTCCTCCACACCCCTGACCTCATAGACCCGCCCCCCTCTGTGGACTGGAGGGAGAAGGGCTACGTCACTCCAGTCAAGGACCAGAAGGCGTGTGGCTCCTGCTGGGCCTTCAGCGCTGTGAGTGAACACGGCTCAGAGGATTTTGAGAACTGAGTATAAACTTTAACCAAATCACCAAAGCAACAATTTTATTGCTCAAAACTATCTTGAAAAAAAATCTTCTTAATGTGAGTGTTTTTGCCTCTACCCACATCAAACCTGTAGCTTGTCTTTTAAAGAGATATAGAAGAATAACGTCATGTAATAATAATACCTCAGCATCTATGCAGCTACACCCTGACAAAATGTCCTGCGTAGTATAAATGTGTCAGTGTTCCACTTTGCTTTAGGTCTAACTAAATGATTTTCTTGTTATTCAGACGGGTTCACTGGAGGGACAGACCGTCAGGAAGACTGGTAAACTGGTGTCTCTGAGTGAGCAGCAGCTGGTCGACTGCTCTGGAGACTTTGGGAACTGGGGCTGTTGGGGAGGATGGATGAACGCGGCCTTCGAGTACATCCAAGCCAGCGGAGGCATCGAGTCAGAAGACACGTACCCGTATGAGGCAATGGTGAGCATTTGTTCCACCGTGTCTATAACGAAGTCATTTTATGAATTGAAACTTTCTTACAGTAATGGGTAGAGTTTGGGATGGAACATCAAAAACATTGACCACGTTTCTGTTCGTGCTTCATCCACAGAGACTTTAGTCAAGTAAACAACCTGATAAAGTGGGTCACTACTGATAAATACATTTATCACACTAGAATAAATATATTCTAGCATAGCTGAATACTTTTGAATAAAGCCTAAATTTAGTATTCAGCATCTTAATATCTCCACTGAGATTAGGTTTACTGAAACTGATGATGTGTGAAGTTAACAAACCTAACCTCTTATAGGATTTTTTTATTTTATTTTTTTCTGGGAATATTTATGGCTTTGGTATGTTAACTATAGGAGTTTTAGAATTTACAGTTAGTGTGGGGCCGTGGTTCACAGTACAAACCTGCTGTGCTTTAAATGTTCTACATTTGATTTTAAAAAGTATTTGTGAAGTTTCTTCTCTTCTTCCTCTGTTTTCAGTGCATAAAAAGACATGTAGCCCTTGAATTCTAACAACAAATATTTGCAAACTGAAGCATAAAAAATATATTGTAAATATTTTCTTTCTTTGTGTCAGTAATTATATTAAACATAATTGGAAAATCACAATGTTTCCCCTCACAATAATCATCACTGTGAGGATCTGTTTACATGAGAACACTTGCAGGTAAATATGACAAAATATTTTATCAGAAGTGCCTTTCGTTTAGACAGTGACGGTGTTTTTGGGGCTTAAAAATGCAAAAATCTGAAACCACCCTCCAGAGTGGAAAAGTTGAATACGCTCCACCGTAGTGTTTCCATCTACACTGCCCAAGACGCAAAACTCTGGTCAGATCTGCTCAGGTCGTGTACGTGTTTACTTCACATACATACAGGACACAGAAACCTGGCACACATACCCAATCGAATTCCACACACTTTTGCTTCACTGTATGCACATAGATTTCATCCCGAAATCTTCTCCCGTCTTCTGTTCAGACTGTCATCGTATAAACGTAGCCTAAGACTTCAGATCTTGAAGTCCCTAGAGTAACTGGGTCAGACTGGGGTCTGTAGAGTCAGACTGCACACGTGTCCCTCTGCCTCTGCCCGTGTGTTTAACTTCCATCTGTGTAACGCTGCAGAAATATTTGCGACTGATAAAAACTGCTCTGTTGTGTTCCAGGATGGTCCCTGCAGGTTTGACCCGGCCTTCGTTAAAGCCACTTGCCGCAGCTACAAGAACATACCAAGTGGGAACGAGATGGCACTGCAGGACGCTGTGGGCAAGGTCGGACCCGTCTCTGTGGCAATTGATGCTTCTCAGGATTCCTTCATGCTCTACGAATCAGGTAAACATCAGAAGATCATGTGAGAGGAAAAGTGGACGTAGAGTAAAGTGGATGTTATGTTACAGGAGTGTACGATGAGCCCAAATGCAGCAGCACCGAACTGAACCATGGTGTTCTGGTTGTGGGCTACGACACCCAAGAGTCTCAGGAATATTGGATAGTTAAGAACAGGTAAGAGTGTGTGTGTGTGTGTGTGTGTGTGTGTGTGTGTGTGTGTGTGTGTACACACACACACTACTGCTGGTCAATTGCAGTTCAAGTCGTGCAAGTCCAGTGAAGAGTTTGAAATTGTACAAAGATAAAAACTGAACAGACAGAGGTTTAAAACAAGATAAAAAACAAAACAAAAACAATATTATAATATATATATATATATATAATACAATATTTGATTTCTGTTGTAAAAAAGAACGGGCCACGAGTGTGTTCAGCTGTTATATCTGCTAAAGGTCGACACACACATGAATCAAAAGTTTAGAAAATGTTTTGATCAACAGGAAACGGTAAAAAACTGGAAAAAGTGGTGGTCTAAACCTTTTGACCAGTAGCGCTGTCAGTCGATTAAACTATTCACTCATAGTTAATCTCATGAATGTCATAGTTAACTCGTGATTAATTGCAAATGAATCGCACATTTTACTCCTCTTATCAAAATAGGATGGGCTTTGTGCAAATGTTTTTTTTTTTTTATTGCAAACCATAACAGTGGTCAGTGAGGCAACTTTGTGTTCCATGTTCCACTCTCATGTTCCGCTTTCATGAAGCTGTGCAACAAGTGCCTCTTCCATCTTCAGAACAGTCAAAGCCACTGAAGTTCCCTCTGTGGGTGAAATAATATGCTGTGACCTGAGGTGCTGTGACCTGAGGCAGTTCTCATGAGTGAGGGACATCCAGTCATCTCCAGTTAGAGCGACTGTTTGTCCAGTGCTGCTGGACTAAGGGCCATGACGTCATCACACGGTGCTGTTTGTTTACATGTAGCAGCAGAGCGAACGCTTTCGTGGAGGAATAAGTCCAGCGGCAGAAAAATCTATTGAATAGTGAGACAGATATGAGTCCTGCTGAGACACACACTGATGTGCTCTCCTCTGAGGGTTTATGGTACAACAACAGCCAGAGGCGAGAGGCTGCAGAACGTCTGTCACTGCCACAGTCTTTATCAAAGGTCAGCGCAGATTCGCCATATGTTTCAGAGTGGAGTTTATTTTGTGTTTTCCTCGTGTGAATAACATCAGCGCACATGTCAGGGTTAGGGACCAAAAATGTTCACAGCCGGATCTTGTCGTTTTTCTAACGTTAAAGCGGTTGCCACAGTTTATGAAAAAACTAGTTCACTAGGTCACAAAGCATTCATCTCGTGATAAAAAAACATATCGCAGTTAAAATAGTTTTGTATTAACTCGTCAATAATGCAATATCTAATGTATATATATTAGGGGTCATCATTTGCCCCAGTGTCAGTTCAGCTTGTACCCAATTTTACATCGTGACAAAACCAATTAAAAGAAAATCTGTGGAATATTTGCTCAACTGAATAAAATCTACTGGGTCCACCAAGACTCTTAAGTTCCATTCTAGCAGTGTCCATAAAACTCCGAGAGAAAAATCTGTTTTTCTCAAATAACTTTAAAAAATAATCCATTTAGGGCCACGGTGTTGAATATACATTTTTCTGCTGCATCATTTGGGACCAATCTTATCTCGCTCTATCTTCATAACTTTCTAAGATATGACAGTTTTTTTCATAATGATCCAAAATCCACAAAATCCAAAGATGAAATGAGACACATAAAGTTTGTTCTTTTTGTCGTGATCATAAACTGTATAAAAAAGTGGAGTAAGTGACGTCACCAGAGCGTCTCAGTGACGGGGACGACACAAGTTTACAGAAAGAATAAAGATGTTATTGAAGAAAAACAGATTTTTCAGCTCAGATTTAAGACCACAGGCGCTAAACTTCAGAGACTTGACATCAAGAGAATTTCAAGAAATTTCTCAGGGAATTTTACAAGTGTAAAAAATTGATACCAGGTACAGACAGATTTTCTAATTTATTTATTTATTTTTTAAGTTGGGCAAATGATGCTCGCTAATATATATAAATCGAGCCATTTTAAAGCCCACAGCTGTTCAGACTTACAGATTGTAGCTTTAAAGGAGATATTATGAAAATTTGCCTTATTGAGCTCTTAACTATTGGCTCACATTGCCCAGTATTTTTGAACCGCAGATTGTTTTTTTGTGTGTTTTTGTTTTATGTCTCTGATCATATATGGGGGGATTTTGCATAAAACTGCCTCACTCGATGTTTTGTGATGTTCTTTTGCAGCTGGGGAGAGAGCTGGGGAGATAAGGGCTACATCAAGATGAGCCGAGGCAAACAAAACCAGTGTGGAATCGCCAGCGTAGCCAGTTACCCGCTGGTCTGAGCCGCACCGGCCGCCGCTGTCACTGTCTCCTGTTATTTTTAAATGTTCATAAGTGAATCTTTAAGTCTATCTGATGATGCTCTAAGGTCTTATGAACATTATTCTGTGATCAGTGATGTGGATCGATTATATCAGTTTAAAAATAAAAGGTTAAAAAATGATTCAGTGTTGCAGTGTGAGTCAAGTGAACATTTTCTCATTATGTAAGAAAAAGAGAAATGGATTGTCCTGGTGAAATGAAAATTATAAATGAGAACAATATCACATCTTAAAGTGAAGAAAAAAATCTGAGCCTGAACTTTTTGTGGCTTGGTCAGCACTTTTATTCTCTGTCATTATTAATTTAACCCTAAAAGAGTTGACACGAGTACAAACAGATTATAAACAGACGTTTTTTTGGACTGTCTGTCAGATTGAGGAAACAGAAAACACAGAAATACTATAAATATTGTTGTGCCACATGTTACAAGTCTGGAATTGCCACATCATGTTAAAAAAGTTGTTTATTTCATTCATAAAGTACAAAAAGACATCAACAGTGTCACAACATCAAACACAGAAGAAATGAATGAAAAGGAGCAAAAAGATGAATAATCTTATGTTATCTGCCCCTTTTTCCCTTTTCAAGACAAAACATCAACACCAATGGTCACTAAACATTTCAAATCAGCACATTTCAGTTCAGGCACAGTTATTAATCAATTGCAAACAGAAATCTTCACTATTATGCATAGCAACTTAGGCTGCGTCCACACTGCAGCCTGAAGTGACCGAAATCTGATTTTTTGGCTTCTATGTTCCTGTATCTGATCTTTTAATGACGTCTGAACCACACAGATCTGATTTTTTTCAAATGTGACCCAGGACACTTGGATATGTGCTCCTGAAACTGATACATATCTGATCTTTTGACATGTGACTTCAGTCTGAACAGTCAAAGTGCATTCATCCACCTACACGTTACACTGAAAAAAAAAAAAGTTGCTGGATTTGCGTAAAAAAAGTTATGGACAGCGGTTGCACGCAATAAAATTATGTTTAGGCTTTGAAACTTTTTTCGAATCCCTCTACACATATTTTTCTCGGAACCTGAACAACACTTTTTCATGTTGATGAAATTTGAATAAATCCTGCTGAATATGCATATTTATCTTATGGTACCTTATCATGAAATGTATAAGTATGTATAATTTAATTCTCTAAAACTAAACTAAATAGTCTTTAGTTTTCTACAGATCTTTATTGTCTTAAACAGAATCAAACACAAAGAGCACAGGGACAGAGACACACAGTTTGGAGCTGGACAGTGTGAAGATTTATTCCAGTGAAGCTCTGGTCTCTGTGGACACAGAATAACACATGATGATCACATTCTGATGATCTACTCTGTTCTACATGTTTAAATACACTTATAGCAATTATTACTACAATAATGGACCAGAACAGAAGAACAAGAACATTAGAAGTGTATCTGCAGAAACAAAACTCACCATGTGCTGCTTTTCTTCCTCTAAACACAGTAACAGGGAGGGCATCTGGTATAAAGTCTCCTACTGCCACATCACCTTGTAGAAACACAACAGCTGTTTCAATAGGAAGTTCATTTTGAAAAATTTTAAAGTAATTTGAGTTGGTTTACTTACTTTGTTCATCTGTGGTCTGTGTTTTGTTGGTTCTCAAACATCTTCCTTTTTTCTGAAACATCAGCTGTAACATTCATGAACTTCCCCACAGCTCCAGCAGAACTGGACGTCTCTGTGTTTGTAGACGACTCTGGAACAAACACATTCACATCTGAGTACAACTGTCACACTCTTGTAGATGGACAGTCAAAAACAATTTGTTTCAAGCTGTCCTTACATTAACTCTAATTTCAAATAAAAACACACAAACATGTTTTAACAATGACGACATTCTAGGCCAGAGAAGCACATAATAAAATATTTGAAAAGTCTCACCTCCAGATCAGCTCCATAATCCTCCTGCTCCACACTGTTTGTCCTCTGCTCATCTAACTGTTCTACGTCCTGTTACATTTGAATTTTCCCTCCAAAAGTTTTGGGGAGGAGAATTCCAGAGGGACGAGCCTCACCACAGATTATAATAAAGTCATGTTTCCTCAACCTGATTAAAAACCTGCAGGTCTCACATCGGCCACAATCAAGCGATGTTTGTAAGATTTAAAACATGCTGGACAGAGAAACGTAAAAAAGTGATGTTATTGTTGTCAAATTTGTTTTTGCAATTTGAGCAACTCCTCTCGGACATTTTTTTCAGTGTATCAACAAGACACAAACGTCACTATTGCTGAAGTGTGAAATTGTTAATGAACTCCGTGTCACTGAAGTGAAGCACATCACCACTCACCACTCTTGGCTCCGTCTCCACATCCACACGTTCCTCTCAACGTTCTGTCCCACAAAACACCACGACCAAAAACCTCGTCCTTCTCCTTCTCAATCTCCTCCTTAAAACAAGTAAGTTGTTCATGTTCTGGCTCCGGTACGAGAGGAACTTTAAAATCTCCAGGTGCTCGATGCTGCGTCCATGTTTGGACAACTTCTGTAAACACAGAGACGCTCGCTGCGGTTGACGTCGTCGTGTCTCCAGTGTCACATGTGGGACACTTTTAATGTTCACACTGGAGTCACATACAAGTCACATTTAACTGGAAATGTGAACGACCTCGAAAAAACATCGGATTTCACAAAAAAATCGGAAGTTGAGCGTTAAGCCCTGCAGTCTGAACGTAGACTTAGTTTTCTTTTTCATACAAACACATTGCATTTGATTTTATGTGGGTTTTTTTTAAAATGTCATCATTGTACTTGATTCTTTTATATCTTTGTCAAGACTCTTCTGTAAGTGAACTCCTTTCACAGCGACGTTTCGCTCCATAACCTCAGTTGTGAATCTGTTTTTTTTTAAATTGTAGTGGGTTGTTCTTATCTCAGTCTTTGAATATTTACAGGTGACACTCTGTACTTTGCTTTATACACGACTCTGAGGAGATTTAAGACAACAATATCCTGCATTTTCAACACTTTTAAGTTGAAAAAATAATGAGTAGGATGTCTCTCTACAATGACTGTTGGTGATAATTCACAAGGCCCTTTTTTGTAAAATAAATAAAGGTTGTAGGTAAAATAAATAGGTAAATTATAAAAAGGTTGTAGGTGAGTTTTACATGTTGACCCCCACACAGTCCATCAGATCTGGTGCAATTACAGAGTTATACAAAATGAATAATGCTGCACGATTTAGTGAGAACAATAAGAACAATAACAATAAAATGAATCCAGGTGAAGTGGGACATGAGTGAAATTATTACACTTTTAAAAAGAACTGCTTCTAGACCTGAACTCTGTGTCCTAGAATCATATCAGTGTGTTTGAGTATAAACATGTCCTCACTCAGCGCTGACGCAGGCTCTTGGTTATGAAAGTGAATAATACAGTTTAAAAAGAGGTTTTACATATAAATTTGGTCAGGTTTCACCAAAGTTTTTTCTCTGGGGGCCACAAAGTAGTAAGTACTTCAAACTTTGTTACCTGGTCCCGTTTGACCAGGTTTTGTATTCACCCTGTGTGTGTGTGTTGTGTGTGTGTGTGTGTGTGTGTGTGTGTGTGTGTGTGTGTGTGTGTGTGTGTGTGTGTGTGTGTGTGTGTGTGTGTGTGTGTGTGTGTGTGTGTGTGTGTGTGTGTAAACGGGAGTTATCCTTTTTTTTTTTTTTTTTTCCATTTTTCATTTAAACACAAAATCGAAAACTGAAAAACCGAATCGTTGTCGTTTTTTTCATTTTGGTTTTGGACCAGGTCTAAAACCAGGTCTAAACCAGGTCTAAACCAGGTCTAAACCAGGTCTAAACCAGGTCTAAAACCAGGTCTAAACCAGGTCTAAATCATGTCTAAAACTAGGTCTAAAACCAGGACTAAAACCTGGTCTAAACCAGGTCTAAAACTAGGTCTAAAACCAGGTCTAAACCAGGTCTAAACTAGGTCTAAACTAGGTCTAAACCAGGTCTAAACCAGGTCTAAACCAGGTCTAAACTAGGTCTAAACTAGGTCTAAACCAGGTCTAAACTAGGTCTAAACTAGGTCTAAACCAGGTCTAAACTAGGTCTAAATCCAGGACTAAACCAGGACAAAAACCAGGTCTAAACTAGATTTAAAACCAAGTCTAAACCAGGTCTAAAACCAGGTCTAAACTAGGTCTAAACCAGGTCTAAACTAGGTCTAAATCCAGGACTAAACCAGGACAAAAACCAGGTCTAAACTAGATTTAAAACCAAGTCTAAACCAGGTCTAAAACCAGGTCTAAACTAGGTCTAAACCAGGTCTAAACTAGGTCTAAACCAGGTCTAAACCAGGTCTAAATCAGGTCTAAAACTTTGTCATTTTTTTCATTTTGGTTTTGGACATAAATAATGAAGTAAATAGTTGTTTTTTCATTTTCTTATTTTTAGTTTTATATTGAAAAACAAATGAACGAATGACGACGTTGCTGCTGCAGATGTTTTGCCTCATCTTTGCCCCACAAAACACCTTTCCTGCTCATCAGTGTGAACCTGCCGGCGCTTCCCGAGGAAACCAGTCAGGCGTTTTAATTTGGACCTTCTCATTCTCGACCCAGGACTTCCGGCCTGCGACGCACGGCCGGGGACGAGCGAAATCGGCAGGAGGTGGAGAAGGAATCAACAAAAGTATTGATCCCGGACAGAGAGAGAGAAGAGAGGAGGAGGAGAGAATAAGGGAGGAGTGCAGAGGAGTTAATAAAGGCGTCGCAGTGGTGGGTCCAGTACCGGCGCTTTCAGTCATTAGGCTCGTAGCAGGTGCAGAGGGAGGCCGGATTTAAAAGGTCACTTTGTATTAGTGCTGCACTGCAAAAATAAAACCTTCAAGTCCCTGTACCGGATATTTCTGTTCATGTATTTGAGCAAAATTTACTCCATTATTAAATATCAGGTTTGTGAAGTTGGTCCTGGTCCAGCAGAAGTAAACAACAAGGCCAAAAATTCAAGTTAATACATCTGATATAAAAATGTATTGAACAGATACATATGTACTCTAGTTTATCAAACTGTTTACCTTTTTTCTGGACCATTTTTGGTTCTAAAGTTCCATCCGTTTTAAACAGACCATGTATGAAACATGGAACAAAA